CACGCACCTCTCTCACACACACACACACACACACACACACGCACACACGCACACACACACACACACAGAGCTGGTCCTCAACCACAATCAACGTAGCCAGCCTTGTACATGAGAGGCATAGTAAAAGGGGAGCTGCAAGACCAAATGAAATGGGTAACCCAAAGAGAAATCAAATAAAGATTCCTAGGAAAGGGAAATCAATTCAAATAATGGATCTTTTGTCCTCCAAGGTGCTTGCGATAGAGGTAAACCTGTTTCATTGTTGCGATGGATCGTCTCAAGTGTGCTTCATTGTCAGCAATAGAGGTAAAGCTGCTTTGACTTTAGATCCTACTCGGCTCGGTGGAATACGGGCTGCTGTTACAATATACGCATACATACACATACACGCACGCCTGACGAGTCGGTGAAAGTCCAATGAAACTGTCCGGCAGACTGGCACAGTTATGTTTTTTTTTTTTTTTTTTTTTTTTTTTTTTTTGGTGTATAGAGGACATGAGAGCACACAGATCCACAGAGGACATGAGAGCACAATCATGCTTTCCGTTTTAAGGAGTTGTGTATGGCGAACATGACGACACCCGCACACACATGCACACAGACAGGAAAATCATGATTTCAGGCACAGACGTGCTCTTTTCTTTGTGGAGCTGTGCATAGCGGAAGTGACAGCTCACATGTACACACACGTGGACAGGTTTGGGTGTGTGATTGCGAGAGTTTTCCATCGTTTCACTATCATGTGCATCCCACTGGAGAGACCCTGTGTCGTGCATATCCCAAAACCACTACTGATACTTCTGCGTCCAAGAACTGCGCAACAAAGTCTGCAGACTCTGCACTACCTTTTTCCGCACGTGCTACAAAGAAGTCGTTCGCCTTTGCCACCACCACAGTCCGCTGTCCGCCGTTCTCTGTAAACCAATCGGCAAATGGAGAGCTCATCTGTAGCACGTGCATGTTTCCACGCACATGCTACGAATGAGTGAGAACTGCATAATTGTGTTTCCGCGCGTGCTACAGATGAGCGCTCCATTTGGCGATTGGTTTACAGAGAATGGCGGACAGTGGACAGTGGTGGTGCCGAAGGCGAACTTCTTTGTAGATTGTTTTCTTTCATAGGGTGGACGGAGTTTGTGGGTATTACACACACACAATTGCAACACGTCCAGAAAGAGGACAGAATACACGATATGAATCGTGTTTCCCTTCTTTGGCAGTGAGGTGGCAGCTAATAGCTATGTGCGAGTAAGTGAGGGGCATTTGTGTCTTCAGTCTATCCACCCAGGACTGTGTGCGGTCGCCACAATTATAGCTTGTCGTTGGCCCAATGGGGTCCGAAGGTTGTTTGTGGAAACAGCTGGAGATAAGAACATGTCTTAATATATATATATATATATTTGTGACGATATATATATGTATTGAGTTATTGATATGAAGCATTAATATCCTTTTTCCATTTCGTTCCGACGAAACAGTTTGTCACAGCCCCTCGTTTGTTGTCCTCTTCTCTCTCTCTGCCTACGGTTTACCGGGCAGTTCTGTTTGTGACGATATATATATATAGCCTCCTGATGAGTCGGTGAAACTCCGACGAAACAGTTTGTCACAGCCCCTCGTTTGTTGTCCTCTTCTCCCTCTCTGCCTACGGTTTACCGGGTATATATCTGTTTGTGACGATATATATATCGACTGGCAGTGAGGTGGCAGATAATAGCTGTGTGAGTGAGGGTTGATTGGGTCTTCTCTCTCTCTCTCTCTCTCTCTCTCTCTCTCTCTCTCTCTCTCTCTCTCTCTCTCTCTCTCTCTCTCTCTCTCTCTCTCTCTCTCTCTCTCTCTCTCTCTCTCTCTCTCTCTCTCTCTTACACCCCTGAATGGCCTGGACGCTTGAAATACAGACCAGTGTTCGAACTCCGTTTGAGGAAGGGTGGGTGGGGTCTTCATAGGGGGGGGCTCATCTGGACAACCGAGTGGTGGAGTACTGTGGGTGACTGCCACTGTCTTGTATCCCACCTCTACAGCACCCTGGGCTTAAAAGAAAAAGAAAAAGAAAAAGAAAAAGAAGAAGAAGAAGAAGAAGAAGAAGAAGAAAAAAAAAAAGAAGCAGAACAATTCTGAAATGACCTTGGGCCGGTCAGTTCGATGATCGTATCTCAAGGCTGTCACCCTGATTATGAAAAAAGAAAAAGAAAAAAAGACATCTGTAACTGCAGAGTGAGGTGAACACCCATGAACTCTTGAAATACAGGCGGAAGTTCGGCTGTCGAGATGCGATCAGATGAACAGAATAACGTAATTCTGAATTCCCTGGGGCCAGTCAGTTCAGTGATGATGTCTCGAAGGCCGCCTTCGTCCTTTCATAAAAACAAAAAGGAAAAACAAAAAGGAAAAAAAGAAATGAGAAGTATTCTGGCGGGCGGGCGGACGATGAACGCGGTGTATGCTAGTGGAGCTGACCTGAAGGAAACCCCAAGCGGTCTGGTAGACCCACGTTGTATTAGGGGAAGAGGTTATATCCATCCTTTTTTCTTGGTAGTAGTTTTTGGCATGCTGTGAAAGTACGTTTGTGTCCACGTTAAAAAAGAAAAAAAAAAAAAACACTGTCCACTTTCCAATCTGGTGATGGCTGGCGTATACATAAAAGGAAAACAAAAAGGGCGAAGCTAAGAGCAGGCACTTAGGTAGGTAGATGGGGTGCGGTCACATTGGTAGCAGAATAAGGCGTTGGACTGATTGCAGGCTACTGTTCGTCTCACAGCGAACACAACAAAATAATTGCTCCTTGCCGCCTCTCTCGTCTTCAGGGGTGAGAGACACACGTGTATTCAAAATCGAAAGTAACGACAATGGATGTCAATCATAGTCGTAGCCAAGCCGGGTAATGGTCCCGGTATCTCGAACTTAAAAAAAAAATCCATGTAAATTTCCATATGGGACGCTGGGCCTGGTTCCCAGCACGTGTTGCTCCCCACGAATAGATTGGAGCCTTGTTCCCGTTAAAAAAAAAAAAAATCATAGTCGAGGCAAGACGACAGATGACTGAATCGGAGGCTCTGGTCTTCAGTTTGGTGGATGAGATTGGACGGGGCAATTTGCTCTTTGTGAGGGGTCATTTGGGGCGTAGATGCAGACAATCATACTTCCATGATTTCATCCTCCCGTGCTGCCATGGTGCTGGTGCCTTTCGTAAACGCATCTCCACTCACATTTTTTTTAAATGTGAATCCAACA